GTTTTATCCCATTGAAAACCACAAATCCAAAAAAAAATAATAATAATAGATGCATTTTGAAATCAGCTTTTCAAAATTGAGCTTATTTAGCAACTCCATTATTTTGCTGGTTGAGTTAAAAGGGCCAAAAATCTCAATGATTTTGTGTGTATTTTGCAAAAAGTTACATCAAAAGAATTGTTTTAATAATATTGTGGCTCGTAAAGGAGCATGGTATTAGGGTCTGTAAAGTAAGTGTGTATACAGTATGTATTAATGTCTTTTGTTTAGTTTGTTTATTTGTTTTTTTTTTATTCATTCATTAATCTTCATTAATTTTAGACATGGCATATACTGTATGTTGTACAATTAAAGAATGTGAAAAATAACTTTTCTGAAAGGTGTTTTTAAATAAAATATTGATTTTTTATTTGGTTTGCACGTGTACTTGCTGAACTATTTCAAGGAATAAACTACAATATTTCAAGAGTAATTAAAGGAATTAATTAAAACTTCATTATTTCTTTTACCAGAAACAAAAATATAACATTACTCATTATTCACAATATATGCACAATTCATTATTGTTTTGTGTGCCACCTCAAGATTTGGTGTAGCCTTACCTGGCCACCCTTAAGAAAACTTTATTGGCGGAACCACTGAAAGTAACTGGGCCACCAGAGAAAATCCTTGCTGTGTTACCCCGTATAAATCTAAAATTTCATTCATAATGGTTTTACAAGGGTCTTTAAAAGTCTTAAATGTGACGTAAAGAAACCTGCAGAAACCCTGAATGATTAATAATCAATGATTTCAGCATGAACTCTCCATGCAGCATATAAGAAATAACTCCAAACGGCCATATTTAATCATTCAGGATGTGTTTATTCTGAAAGCATGAAAGTCAGTTGAAGAATACAGAGGTTAAAGTGGAGAGAGGCCAGTCCTCAGTGTATTCACAGGTTCACAGTCAACCACACTGAGATAAAACATCAGAGAGAATGTGGAAATCAACACACATCGAACACCAAAGGCAATAGTGAAGCACTATTTCAAAAAAATTGCTTTGAGTTGTGTAACACAGTATCTAGTTGCGGTTTTAGTATACACAAATCCTATAGAAAAACTTTCAGACCTACATGAAACATCGTTTACCACTCGTTTTTTTTTTATTTTAGGTCTCACCAGTTTAAGCTTTTAGTAAGAAATCAGTGACAGAAAAACAAATAACATCTCAAAGATAGAACAGATCAAGGTATGGCATAGGGTTCATAAGGTAATATAATAGTAAAGAGAAAAGAAATGACAATGACACATGTGAGATCTAAGCTGACTACAATAGAAACCTGTAACAGAACACACACACGCAAACACACACACAATCCATGTGGTGTGTCATCTTGAAATCAATAGACCACTGACAGCGTAATTGCAGATCAAGGCCTTCTTCAGTCAAACCTCCACTGACTCCTATGATGTTTGGAAAATTACAGTATGTCGCCGCTGCACAACAATTACAGATCATTGGCCACCGGAGGGGAAACTGCTCTTGTTCGTGACAGGCTGTTAATAATTGTCCGATAGTTGCACTGGCTTCATCTGTCCTGCTTAAGTTTTGACCTGGATAACATTACTATTGTCAACTTTAACGTAGGACACGTCAATCAGAAATTGAGCGCTCAGACGGACACCGACATTGACGTTAGCATCACAGTATCGCAGTTGTAGACTATTGCTCATATTAAGAGGTCGACCGTTTCTTTTGCTTTCAATAAATATGCTCTTTTAATCCTACATCACCTGCCGTTTCTGTGCTAAAACATGTTCGTGTACTGAACTTAGGACAGCACAAAATTAGTTGTCAAATTTAAAAACGCATAAACTGAAATGAGTAAATACTGGCAGAATGAGTTACAGATGTGTCTAGTGAAGCATGAATGAGAAAAATCTGTATAAAATTGCAAAATCTTGCTGATGGGAGACTTTTAAAATGAGGGTTTGTTTACAGTACAATGTTAAAAAAAAAAGTTGTCAAAAAAAAAATTCCCATTTACACACAAAAACAACTTAGAATGCTTTATTCTGCCTAATATTTGTTGGCTCCAAGACAATATAAATGTCCCTGAATTAAAAATTAAAATATAACTAATAATTAAAATTGTTCATGTTTATGATCAGATTAACAGGGCTAGATTTCATTAGCATTAATAAATGTTTATCGTTCACAAACAATAGAGTGCTGCAGGGAGGATTTTTGTAGGTCAAAGTTACTACATCTTGGTTCCCTCTAAAAAATTAAATAAAATAAAAAAAAAATAAAATAATAATAATAATAATAATAAACATCTACAAAAGTCAGAACAAGACAGGCAAAAGGCAGAAGTAAAAAGGTAAGCTAAGCATCATCTACGCTATGGTCAGTGAGTTTGAATACACAAAAAAGTTGACTTAAAATAAGTGAGTAAAGCTGTTGCTTTTAAAATGATTAGTTGACTTAAAGTGAGTAAACCCTTTTCCATAACATTTTTAAGTAAATGAACTGCATAATTATAATAATTAAGTTAATCAACTTAACAGTTAGGGTGTCACGGTGGCTCAGTAGTTAGCACTGTCACCTCACAGAAAAAAGGTTGCAGGTTTAAGTTCTGGCTGAGCCAGTGGGCATATCTGTGTGGAGTTTGCATGTTCTCCCTGTGTTGGCGTGGGTTTGCTCCGGTTTTCCCTCACAGTCCAAAAACATGCGGCATAAATGAATTCGATGAACTAAAGTGGCCTTAGTGGGTGTTAATGTGAGAGTGTATAGGTGTTTCCCAGTACTGGGTTGCAGCTGGGAGGGAATCTGCCGTGTAAAACATATGCCGGAAAAGTTGGCGGTTCATTCCGCTGTGGTGACCCCTGATAGACTAAGCCAAAGAAAAATGCATGAATAAATGATATTAACAGTTCAAAGTTACAGTGGGTTTACTCCCTATCTAAGTTGAGTTAACTTTTGTCAATTGTTGAAGGCCACAGCCTTGATTGGTTTGGGACATGTGGAGCTGCACATTGATGGATTTGCCCTTCAGTGTTTGGATTTTCAGCTGTGAACTGAACTGAATTAACCTGACTTTCAAAACTGGACTGACACAATCTCAATTTATTAGAACTTCTATGTTAATCTGCTTTCACACAGTCTATATTGTAAAAGCGCTATAGACATAAAGGTTAATTCAATTGATGCTACCTTCGAGGCAATGGGTTTACTCACTTTAAAATAGATCACTTTTTACTGTGTACTTTTCACTATAGTGTGATCATGAGCATTGAGAAGCTGAAAAATAATTTGTTTTTCTGTTTGGTCTCATGACTTGCGATGTCAGCCGGTGCTGTGCTGTTTAATTGGTGTCGGTAAACTGGCTGTTTCAGTTATTGTACAACGGCTGCTATCATTTCTACAGAGAGAGATGAAGATTAAAAAAGGTAAGATAAACATATTATCCCTCCTGTGAATTGTTTTTATTATTATTCACATATTTCCCAAGTGATGTGTAACAGAGCAAGAACATTTTTCACAGTGTTTTCTATTATATTTTTCTTCTGAAAAAAGTCTTGTTTGTTTTGTTTTTTTTTTTTTTGCTGGAAATAAAAATATATATTTAAAAAAAAGAAGTTGATTACAGAACAAACCACTATTGTCTAATGACTTGCCTAATTATCCTAACTTGCCTAATTACCCTAGTTAGGCTTTTAACTAAGCTGAAAACTCGTATCTTGGAAAATGTTATGTACTGTAATCATTATGAAAACTAAAGAAATTAGTTATTAAAAATAATTTTAAAAATGTCTTGGAATTAAAAAAAAAACCTATTCAAAATTACAGTAGGGCTAATAGTTTTGTTTTAACTGTACTGCATATACACACGCTGTTAATAACTTCTGTTTGTTAGATGCAGCCACTTGTTAGCCACCTTTTAAAGACCAGTAAAGGCTTAACAGATCTATCTTGTTGAAGAAGCAGAATTATTTGACCCTGGACAAACCAGACTTTATTTCAGGCATTCAAAAATGCAAAAACAAAAGTCTTTCCTGCAGCACTTTACTTCATGGAGATTGTTTTATAATCTGACCTAATTCACATTTGCTAAAGAGAAAAAAATATTAACAATGAAATTTCTTTGATACAATCTGTATTATATAAAGCACTATATTAATAAATATGACGATGTGTGTATATATATATAATTCCTGTCAAGCATTTGCAATTCAGAAAAAGATTTGTTTGACTTAAACAATAAATATATATTTTATGTTTTCATACTTTTATTTTCAAGAGTCAAGACTATTTGTTTAATGCAATAATACATTTATTTCATCGTAAAAGGAAGTATGTAAATTTAAGTAAGTTTTTAAGTAGATTTATCGCGATTTTGAGTATATTTAACCCAACACAAGGCATGTTCATTAATGCCTCGTGAAATCCTATTCAAAATAATATGGTTGTGTATTTTTAAAATGGACATGTATCTTCTTCAAAACATGTACAATGTATGTAAATGTGTCTATATTACATAAGTACAGATCACGGTTTCCACTGTCCATGTGGCTAGCTACCAAGCAGATCTGCGGTATTAATGATACCTGCTCTGCTCCGTTTATTGGGCCACATGTCTCAACCACTAAAACACCATTACAAGATGAATTGAGCCGCTTTAGTTGCTGCAGAAGTGTTTTGCACGTAAATCCCCGACGCTTCATGAGCTTGTGTTTGATAATGAAAAGTAAAGCTGAAGCCGGACATGTCGTAAACAGCAGATCTGAAAAAGCATGCTGTTCTTGGCTACGTCTAATCTACAGAGGTAAGGAAGCTATTTACAGAAACTTTACATTTCGCCTGAAGCTGTCTCTCTGTGGTTCTTGAGCTGCGATGCAAATAAATAGTAACTTTATAAAATGATAAATCTACCCTAAAACATGGACGCAGATCAGTGCTAGAGTTTCCAATCTCGGCTTAATGTAAGCAGAAAACAGCTTTTTTTTTCTTCTTTTACATAAAGTGGCCGGAGCCGTTGCGTCACAGCTTTGTGATTCAATAGAAAACAGATGTATGCTGGGAAATTGTCGGCTCGTGAGAGAGCGTGTTTAATGCTATGTGCTGCGGAATCTTCAGTATTAGCATGCTTGCTGCATATGTACATGTGTGTGTGTGGGTCTAACCCAGGGTGGTAGAGTTAGCAAGATTAGCCGCTCTGCTCCTCCACTGTGTCCAAAGCTGAAGCCTCTCCGTTGCATCGTGATGTGGGAACGGGCTGTTCGGGCTCTGGGACGTGGACAACAGGCTCAGCTGGCGGCTGGACGGCTGCGCTCGCTGCTTCTGCATTGGCAGGTTCCACGGCAGGGACTTCTATGCTTGCCGAGAGGCTTTCAGCAGTACTGGACGGGGCTGTGGAGGCCTCTGATGCAGCTTGAGGGGTTTCCTGAGCTCCAGCTGCAGGATCGGCTTCACTGGGAGATGCTGCAGCAGCTTCTGCTGCAGGTGCTGTTGCTGCTGCTGTCTGATTCTCTGGTGCCCGGAGACGCTTCATCATGGTTGTGACCCGCACCGCTTTCTGTAGAGAGGTTAGAAAGCAGATTTAACTTGTATGCTCAATGCATTAACACAAAAAAGAGTTGAGTACTTCTAGAACTTTAGTACTTCTAGAACTTACCTTCCACTTTGCTTTGGCGAAATTCTTCTCAATTTGAGCGCACACGTTTTCTTTGATGTTCTTGTCTGATGCAGCATTTCCTGATATCCTTTAATAGCACAACAGCTTGTTATAAGACTTGGATTCTTTCAGATATAAACAAATGTCTTTCATATAAACAAGAATCTTTCAAAAATGTGGGGTCAGTAAAAAATAAAAACAAGCACTTTACCAAAATACTACTATCTTTTACAGTTTTTAAAAACATTTTGGTTACAAATTTCAGAACCCTGATCTCTATCTAAAACTCTAAACTGTCACTACTTTTAACACAGGCTTTACAGTGTTCAAAACTCTGCCTGCTGCATTCATTTCCTTGAAGTCTTGCATTTGTAGGATCATTGGTTCACATAATTCTTTTATGATACAAATACCACAGGAACATTACTTTAAATCACCAACACACAAGATACATATCATAAACAATCATTCAATATTGTTGTTTAAAATTTATGATGCAGGTTTCATTATGGTTTATACATAAGTGCAGAGGGAGAAGTGCAGACAGTGGAATCACTAAACTAGTTTTATTCATTCAACCATAATTTACTGTAGTTTAACTGTAAAAAAGAAAAAGTAAAACAGAATAGTAAAGTTACCCACAGTGTTTCTCACTGCATGTCCCTGTATCGAAAGCTGATATATGGCATGATGTATGGAAACATGCAAATTACAATTGGATTTCACATACTTTATATAAAATGTCATAATAGTCAAGAATTTGTCAAAATAGTGGAAAAATCACCGTTTACATTTTTTTCAAGCATATACAATATTTTGACATTTATGATATATTTTATATATGTGAAATCCATATGAACTAGTATGTCATGTATGCAATTTCCATATCAGATTTCTATTTTGGAATCTGTGTTTCCATCAGTCTGGTCCTGTTTTTTGGCCATAGGTTCCCCTTTGCATCACAGTAGTGCTTTTATTAGTTAAGAATCTCAGAAAGAACTTTCTGTCGATGTGAATCCAGCCCTGACATTGGTCTGCTGTGGTGCTAAGATCGGGCTTTTACAGACAGTAATGTCAAGTATGAAAATATTGTAATAGTGGTACATAGAACCAAGAAATCATAGATAATGTAGTCCAGTTAGGTCATCTTCTGAAGTAGCTGATGTCATTTGATCTATCTTGAAACGTTCATCTAAAAATATAATATTGCACATCAGTTTCTATGCATCAAGAGTAATGCAACAGTTATTTATTAATTTGAGTGCTTATATCAGTTGAATGTACATCATGGTATTTAAATGAATACTCAAGTAATTTCAAATGTAATGTTTGCATTGCATTTTAAAATAAGATCTATTTAATGTTTAATTGTATTATATTGAAAGGTGATTTTAGTTTAATTAAAGTATCTTTGACTTGTGTGTATTGTCTCCAAGCTTTTGGAAAAAAAAAGTTGAGTTTTGCAAAAATGTGCAAATTTTTGTGCAAAGGCTGGAAATTTTTGTGTTGAGTTTTAAAAAATGACACCAGGGTTTTGAAATTTGTGGCAAAATGATTGTAAGTATAGGTGCATTAATGTAACGGTTTTCTTTTAAAAAATATATGCTGACCCATGGGTCCCACAAAAACATTAATCAGCAAAACTGTTTTCAACACTGAGAATATAAGAAATGTTTTTAACACCATGTCAGCATATTAGAATGAATTATGAAGGGTTATAACACTATGAAGACTGAAGTAATGAGTAGGTTTTACATCCAAGGAATGAATTGCATTCACAGTATATTAAAATAGGTTAAACATATTAAACTGTTATTTTTAAATAACTGTTATTTTTTTAACAGTTTTTTTCTGTATTGCAATCAAATAAATGCAACCTCAGCGAACACAGAAATCCTCTAACCCAAAACCTTTGAACATGAGTCACAATATGTGTCAAGTAGAATGGTAATATAAGTACCATTCATGGTTGATGGCTTCTTGTGCAGTCAGTCTCTGGTCCTGGTCCACCTCCATAAGACGTGACACTAAGTTTTTAGCTGGGGACCAAACAAAATATAAGAAACGCTGTAAACCCAATGTTCACATTTAAGGTTTATATAAGAAGTTTTCTTCAGTGGAATTACCAGAGTCTGAGATTTCATCCCAGTAAGGTGAGTCAAACTCATAATCTCCAGCAAGAATCTTCCGGAAGAGGTTTTTGTCATGGTTTTCATAGTCATCATCATCTGCTTCATCGTAAAATGGAGGATTTCCAGAGAGCCTGTGCATGACATGAGCAAAATCATTAGTTTATGTGCAGACTGTTCACCACTATCCTTCCTGAGAAACATAAAATGAGACTAATATCTGTATTTTTTAAATACAGATTTGTTTTTGAGACTTCAGAAACGTGAATTAGACATTGTTTTTTTTTTAAATCTAATCCATGATGGTATTGTTGGTTTCAGATTCACACCCCACACTGCACTATTCTGCCAAAGTGGGAAGTTCTTGACCAGAATAAGTTTTCACACCTGTAGTTTTTTTTTTTTTTTTTTGCCTGTTTCTGAAACATTTACGTTACATTTGTATGCAATAATTCAAAGTGACTTAAAGGTCCCATGAAGTGCTTTGAAATTTGCATTTTTTTTTGTTCACTATTTTATGTAATCTCAACTAAAACAATTAGAGTGCCCGACATCAAGTAGCTCTTCCCTTTTAAAACAAATGGCCAATAGCATGCCAGTACTATCACAGCTCTGCCAGTGAGAATGGTTGAGCTCAAGCACATCAAATCAAAAGCAAATGTGAAATGTCAGATACTAGAGAGCATTTGATTAGTCAAGATTTGATGAGAAACTGAAGTAAAAAAAAAAAAAAAAACTTGATCCATTTATGGTTAGCTTTACATATTTACATTGGTGCTATACACATTTATTAGTTCTTGCTTTCCCGGGGAATCAAACCTACAGCTTTGGCATTCCAAGCACCATGCTCTACTATTTCAGCTACAGGACGACTCAAGGTGAAAAGCAGGGATAACAATATTTGGTTTGGTTTATTTTTACAAGGCAACATTTATATACACAACAAAATTTGTTAAGACACATGTAAGTACACGGTCCTCATTGGTTAGAGTACATCTGTGTATGTTCTGGTATTCTGCTCTGTCATTCATTAGGATAGCTAAACAACTGTATTGCTGAGTATGTCATTTTAATTTTGAGCGTGAATTAGACCATGAATATTTCTGAAATCTAGTCATCCAGCTAAATTTTAATTATAGGCATTTCTATTGCCTTTGCTTAAGGTTAACTTACAATTCATTTCGAAAAGCATTAGCAATACCAATTGCTGCTTTTCAAACAGTGTTCTTAATTAGTTCATTACGTCAGATTTGTAATTTTATACCCCAAGCAAATCGCTCAAGACCACCTTGTTTTGGTGGTTTATCAACGATTGTAGTTTATTTCGGTGTGGATGTTTGGATTAACCAAATAATGGAAGAAAACAGCAGCTTCTGAAATTCATTTCAAATTAGCGAGGTGTGAAAATGGTACAACGAGGACCAAAATCTAGATTAGGTGTGTAAATAAAGGTGACCCTTTAGCCAGTGCCCCGACGAGGATGCACTGAGGCACTGTTTTTCCGTGTCAATGTTTATGAATAGATTACACCAGTAAGGTTTGACTGTAAAGGAGAAAACACTCACAGTATGTACATGATCACACCAAGGGCCCAGCAGTCCACAGGTCGACCATATCTCTGTCTTCCAACAACCTCTGGGGCTTTGGAGAAAGACAAAAAGCAGATATGAAATGCATAATCACCTTTTTCTATATACTGCTCATCTTATTTTAACAACCTATCCACATGTAAACAAACTTCTGTTTGCTCTCTGTATAATGTTGTTCCACAATGAAGGCCATCTGTTGCGTCTCCCCTATGAGTGTTTAAAGAGGTTTTGCCCGTTTTGAAGAGCTTCTTACCCAGATACTCAGGGGTTCCACAGGGCTCCTTGATGAGTCCATTCTCCAGTTTTGCCAGATGGAAATCACTGATGACTATTTTCGAATGTTTCAGTCGGTTGTAGTACACCAGATTCTCAAGCTAGAGGGAATGACAATGACAAGATGACATGCCACTTCATGAAATTTCTTTCTTAAAGCAGATAGGTTTAAGACATTCACATTACATATTGCACAACTACTGAACGTGTAGTTGCTTATTTGATTTGTTAAACTGATATATGATTTAATAAATGAGGATATTTAAACAAAGGGTGGATCAGAATTTATTTAGTTTCTAAAAAATAAAATTCTGTAAAAGATAAAACAACAAATAAATATTGATTGCATTTATTGCAGTAATATCATACTTTTCATTCTAAATTTCCGGTCATGCTTAGCCAATAGTCTTTTCTTCTCATGCCACACACTTGGTAAATATAAGCTTAGCTTAATAAAGTTGCCAAAAGGAATTCAACATATTTTCACTAAAATCTAATCTTATTTAGCTTAAGTACTGATGTCGTAAAGCATAGTTTATTACATCAAAGAAATTAGTTATTAATATTGTTTATTTATTTACATTGAATACATTTCTCATATACATTGTAAAATAAAAAAACACATTTCAAAACAACACTGCTTGAGAAAAAAAGATATATATATATTATATATGTTTAACAGAGCAAGGTTTTTTCACAGTATTTCCTATAATATTTTTTTCTTCTTGAGAAAGTCTTATTTTATTTAAACTAGAATAAAAGCTGTTAAAAAAAATTTAAGGTCAAAATTATTAGCCACCATGAACAATATTTTTTGTTCTATTGTCTACAAAACAAACAATCGTTAAACAATGATTTGCCTAATTACCCTAACTTGCTTAGTTAACCCTTTAAATGTTGCTTTAAGCTGAATACTAGTATCTTAAAAATATCTAGTCAAATAGTATGTACTGTTATCATGGAAAAGATAAAATAAATCAGTAATTAGAAATGAGTTATTAAAACTGTTAAGTTTAGAAATGTGTTGAAAAATGCATGTCAGGCTCATAGCCAGCCTATTGCAAGGGGTGGTTCTTTTTTTTTTTCTCAAAAAGTGGACCTTTTTTCAGTTATTCGTCTCATTTCCTATCAAATTATGAGGTTGAAATAGTGCGTTTTAGCAAGATTTTAAACAAAAGTTTTGCTGGATCAGCTTGTTGGATGGTGATTATAATACACTACACTACACTTTTTGATGTGACAAAAGTATTCCCTACATTTTTGTGGCGCTTACCATTTTATTTTACAACAAAGTGTTTATTTACAAATGTTCATTTATGATGGCATACTGTCAAAAATGGAACAATTGAGCAGGTGTAGCAATCAAATTCTGGACTTTATCAGTATAGGGGGTGGGTCTTACGAACCACCTGAACCCCCGCCCGGCTACGGGCTTGTATGTGTATATAATCCAAAAGTCAATCTGAAAATCTGGCATGTTAATATTTTGGGATGGCTGATGTGCCTAAAAATAATATACTATATTGACATACAGACCTGATTCCAAAAGTGTGTACATCACTACAAAAGAATCTGATATTAAATGAAAACAGAATGGACTCTATGCACAGCTAGAGTTTTAAAGCCAACGATAAACTTCCAGTAAAAGCTTAATGTGAGTATTTTTAATTTCACAAGGTTGTTTTTACAGCACCGATATTGTATTGTAATTACAATACATTCAGTTAAAAAGACTTAAGCATTCATTTAGTTGTTCAAGCGTAAAACGAAATAAAAAACCATGGAAACCACTAGAGCCGTCTGTAGCAACAGGCTAGCGCATAAATTCCATTGAAAATGTTTGGGTAGAATAAGCTGTCATATTTTAAAGACATGGCGAGGGGAAATGCCATTTAATGCAGTGCTTCTTGTCTGATCTGAGACCCTCTTCATATTGTATATCTAACAGGCAGTAAAGATCACTCTTTTTTAGATCAGATCTTAAACGTGATAATTTGGTGATGGAAAGACAGTTCACCGGAAGCCCTGGGACTGCCTGCCTGAAAATTAAAAGTCTGTGTGCATATAGCCCATTGGAGACGGGTATAGTAGTGGATAATGGGGTTAATATGCAAACTGGATGTGCACCAGCAGAGGGCAGTGCTGTGTGCTGTACCTTAAGGTTCCTGTGGACGATCTTCAGGCTGTGCAGGTACGCCACCGCCTCCATCACCTGTCTGATAACATTACTGGTGTCCCTCTCGGAATAATAGCCTTGATCCAGAATCCAGTCGAACACCTCCCGACCTGTGGCTCTGCAAGAATACACAGCACACGCTGAGCTGCTTTTCTGCACCATTATGAATTATTCACACCCTGCTTTAAACACTGGCACCTTCAAAAGCTTTACTCCATCATGCAGGTGTAGCAGGCCAGTCCATGCCACACATACAGCGTACGGCAGGGACGAGGCTTTAAAATAATGAATGCAAATCCGAACAGACAGGTAGGAATGTGACAAGGACGAGGCGGTATAATCGTGTGAGGACCGTCTGAGTGCAGGGTTTATTTCTGTTATGTCTCCGGCAGCAGCAGCTTTAGCCTCTTGAAGTCAGTATCAACAGGAAAAAAAAAGGAGACTTTTTGTCACCAACAAAAAACATGCTGGAGGAATTTGTTTTCTGCTGCTTTTATGTTAATGGCCTTTGCATTTAGCACCAGTGTGCTTTCAAACGCTTACATGGAAATTTGTACACAAGTTCTGTGTGTTCTTTGGAAGCGGTTTAGAGCTTAATGATTAAAAATTGTGGAACAAAATGTCTAATGTCAAAACAGATTTCTTACATCTAGCAAAGTTATTTGCATCTTGTAAATGCAGCCTAACAGGCCTGTCACTGTCTAATGTGTCATAAATAATATCCAAACAACATCAATTATAAGACCAAATAAGAAATCACTCTCTGATATTGTCTGTGTAACTTGAAAACCTTTTAACTTTAACCCTATAGAGTATAGATCCTTTTAATGTGGTGATGTCATGAACATTTACTGCTTGTTTTCAAACTATTTCATAACTGTAACAAGAGGCAATTCATTCATAAATAATGTTATGATTGCTGATTTAACATTAAGTTATCAATATGTGACTCTTTGGATTCTCTGAAGCTATAAACGGTCTATAAAGTCTGCTGAATTATATTTATTTTTAAGGCCACTAAAATATAAATGTGATCAAAAATGAGCTGAAAATGTGTATTCTGATGTCTCGTTTATAATAATTAAAAAAAAAAGTATTTTAGTGTAATTGTATGTTCAGGTTGTGGTCTACGTGCGTCTTTGCTGCATTATATTGGAAAAATCTGATATTAAAAATCTGCAATATTTTATTATTCTGCGATAAACATTGCGATATGAATACAGTTTCACAAAATGGTTTGATTGGCTCTATTTGTTGGTTTTCTGGGGAGCCAAACAGTATTGAGGTACAGAAATTAAATAAATCACAATGCAAAAAATGTTTGTCTTTGCATTGTTTAGTTCAGGGGTGCCCAAACTTTTTGTTATGAAAAAAAAAATTGATTGATTGACAATGGTGAGCAAAAGAAAAAAAAATTAAAAATTGTATAATCAAATTTCTAATTATATATAATTATAAACACATTGTCTTCTATCCATCGAGTAACAGTAAAAACAAGACAAAAATTGAAAATAAGAATTTTGTTTTTTGCAAAAATTGTATAAATTCAATATAAATAAATACAGTTAATCTTTGTTGCGTGGTTGATTCCGCTGTGGCGACCCCAGATTAATAAAGAGACTAAGCTGAAAAAGAAAAGCGTAATAAAGTATTAGTGTTAGTATAGGTTACATAAGGTCAATGATTTTCCACTGAGCTGCGTGAATGATGTGAAAACTGCAGTGCATCATCTGTAAATACAAGTTCAAATAATTCAACTTGAATGAAAAATTCACTTAAGGTGAAAAACATCCCATAAGTAAACTAGAGAGAGTGACCCTGTGATCCGTGTTTGGTGTGAACCCAAGTTAGGAATAACTTCTATATGTTTTCAAGGTTGTTGTTTTGTTTCTAAAAAATAAACAATAAGTGACATACATTGGAAAAATTGCACAAATGTTGTTTCAGCAAGTTGCTAAAGAAACATTTATTGTTCTCAGTTTAACGTGATGCACTGCAAAAACCCAAAACTACATATAGTCTGCTATTATGTTAAAAACAAATCAGCAAAATAATATAATTAACTTTAACTAATAAATGAAATATCAAGTGTAATGTGGGCCTCTTAAATAAATTTAGGTGTAATCTTCACTTATGATCTCCATATTTTTTTAAACAAACTAAATTAACCAGTAAATCTTGTTGCATCAAATATGAACCTATTTTCATTTTTTTTCTGATAGCTGGCTATTACATTATTTATTTAGTTCTGAAGATGGTTTAAAAATTAAGAACAAATTAATTTTGTTGTGGTGTTTGATTTGGAAAATTTTGACTTAAATCTTTACAGTAATACTACTGTTTATACAGTAAAAAAACAAAAAACAAATAATAAATCATCATTTCAGGACTTACAGCTCCAAGAAGAGGTAGTACTCTTTCCGGGTCTCATATACATCCACCAGCTGGAGAATGTTGGGGTGTTTGACCCTGGAAAGAAGTCATGGACAAACAGTTAGCAGACATAGGAAGCTAATACACATGTAGTGTGTTTAGATCCACAAACTCTATAGCCATAATAGGGTTGGGCAATGTCGACCAATTTGGCATCGTATGATGTCTAATGTGAAACATTGCGATGGATGATGGCATCATCGTCATAGGCAGTGGTGAATAATTATTTATAAATAATTCATTAATTCATAACGAATAATTTTTTTTTAGCCTACCGTTTAATTACCTGACCCGCATGGTCTTTGTTTGACCCATAAACAAATTACCACTTGTCAATCACTTTTGCTGCGAAAGCTTGGTCGGTAAAAAAGGTGCAGAACCATCAGTATTAGAGGTTTTCACTAAAATTACTAAGTACAAGTGTGAAAGTGAAAGACTGAAGCAGCGTACTGATGCTGTGACACGCTACCAGACAGATTCAAAAGACAGACGAGCCGTTAGATAGAGAAGAGATGAATTAAATATCACGTTTAACAACTATAGTTAGACGCGATCCAGCGGTACATCCTTGATAAACTGTCTGGCGTGCACTGCTTACTGGAGCTCACACGAGCGCATGACTGTGTGTGTGTGTGGTCACGTGATGTGTGTTTTCAGTGGACGGAGGGCTGTTCAGAAATGTTAGGTAAAACACTGTGGATGTGGATCATTTTCGTTCTAAAATGCCATTTTAATACTAAGACGTATTAGAGTACACGGGGCCTAAGTGTGTATTTTCCGTCAGCGGGTTTGTGACGTGGGCGAAGGATCGGCAATGCCAGTTTAGCATCGTAATGTCTATTGGCCATCGGCGATGGACGATGGCATCGTCTATCGGCCCAACCCTAAGCCATTATAATCACATTTAACTCAGAACAAATGTTAATCGTTAAAACTCTGTAGCTGAATCACATCAATATTGACGTCCTGTATACTGTATATGCTTTATTTCATTGTATTTAACTGTAAGGCAGCTTGAGAAAGTTCCTCTAAAGTCTTGGTTCCTCTAAAAATAAGCTTTGTTTAATGATTCTTAGGATTCGTCCTTGCTGTTGTGGCCTTTGGCTAATCACTGAGGCATTTATTTCATATTCTTCATCTTTTATAGCTGCTTTTAAACAATGCGCATTATGAAAAAGCCCTATGGAATAGCTGAAAGTTTCCAAGAAACTTCCCTTAGAGCATATTACATTCCAGCACATGTAATCTAATTCATTATGCAACACGGACACTGTAAAGAAGTGTTTCAGATCTTCTTTTTATTTATTTATTTAAAATTTTATTAAGCCGGTTATGTCAGCCAACTTTCAAATTAAGAAATGAAAACACTGATTATGCTTTGAAGACACTAATGTGCACTTATGCCAGTGGAAGAGAGGAGAACTAAAGGTGAACCTGCTCGTTTGGAAAAGTGACATTTCTTTTATCCGTTATTCATGAGTTGTTGTGATTTGCGAGCGGGACACAAGCACAGCGCCGCATGATCAAAGTGACATTAGTGACTCGCACACAAACTTTCAGACGCAGGATAATCATTTATAATCAGACACTCATGCAAAGCATTTATATATAATATGTTAAGACTATGACATATTTGCTTTATTTAACAAACATTTGGTGTTTCATGTACAGTAGGTTCTTTTTTAAATGGACTGAACATCTCAATAATGAATATTGGCACTGCAAAGCTCCACAAAGACTTAAAATTGGCTTTAACTGAATCAAATTAATGGAGCTATTTAAAAACTATATTACAAATGTTTTAAAGTAAGTAAAAGTGTATCAAACATCAGATCTACTGTACAGTATGTGCATTTGAACTGGATGTAATGTTCAAATAAAGTGTATGCACAGTACTGTAGCAATACATTTGGGCAATGCTTTATTTGAGTGTCTTTGATACATGTTTGGTAATAACAGTAAGTTGTGCATAATTACATGCAACTAGCCCTAAATTAAACCCATCCTACATGAACCTTATGTTGTTAATTATTACTACTCAGCAGGGACGTTCAGTTCATACGCACTTGAGAGAATGAGTTTGCCAACCAGCTAATTAATATTAACATACATGTTACACTACACTCTACATATTCTCTTTCATTAGAGATTTGAGGTGTAAAGCATACATAAAATCCAAATTGCAATATTTAACTTCTTTTTTTGCAAATTTGCTAATCTGTTGCAAGATTTAAATGACTAAAATGCACATTGTATTTGATGAAAACATGATATATAAACGAGAGTCATTTGAATGTGATTAATAATCAAATAAACACAACTTTGGTGAATTTTGCTAATGCTCCCAGTGTGGATTAAATTATACAGCATACCTAGTTGAAGAAGCCACTGATCCACTCCTCAAAATAAAGCTTATATATTTGTATTGGATATGTTTGGGGATACAAAAACATAAGTGATCAACAAATCGTCACCTTGGAATTATAAGATTGTATCTGCTTTCTGAATGATTTTGAGATATTGAGCTCAAAGTTTTTGCATTCCATAGCAAACAGTATGTGTGTAACATTTGTTTGTTTGTTTGTTTTTTTTAAATAAAACGTCTTAATGTAAACAACTTACCAAACTTTTTCTTCCAAAAAATCCCATAATGTAAATAAGTTGTCATTTAATAAGAACATGTCAATAACTCAATTTTGACAAACATGCCAGATAGAATCTTATAATTCTAAGGTGACGCAGTGGCATCTTTCATAGTCTGTTTTGAAATACATCAACTATAATTGATTTTATAAAGATGCCAACTGCTGACATTTTTAAATACTTTTTTGTAGTAAAGAAAGTAACAGCAAATCAACTTTGCACAAAGAGGATTTGCAAGCTTCTGCGGTACAGAAATCATCCCAGAGGAACGACAGCATTAATGGAGCTCGACAAGTCATTATTTATAAATAAAACTGATTAAAAAATAAAATTTTCTATAAACCAAATGAAATCAAAAGAGCAGGACTGCTGGGGAAAACAGAAAGTGATGAAAAGTTAAAAAAAGGAAACTGCAACTCACATCTTTAGGATGACAATCTCATTTTTGGCAGCCTTCCGCACCTTTCTTCCATCTTTCTTCAGGAATTTTTTGCAGGTGTACATTTTCAGTGTGTTTTTATCTTTCGCCCTGAATATCTCACAGAACTCCTCCCTTGAGAAGAAAAACATGTATTGATTACATCCTGATTTATACAGACCTAAAGGCTTAGTTCACCAAAGAAAAATTCAATCGATTGATTCATTTTCCTTCAGCTGAGTCCCTTTTATTAATTAGGCTTCCCCACAGCAGAATGAACTGCCAACAGCATATGTTTTAGACAGCGGATGCCTTCCAGCTGCAACCCATCACTGGGAAACATCCATACACTCTCATTCACACACATACAGTACGGACAATTTAGCTTGTTCAATTCACCTATAGCGCATGTCTTTGGATTGTGGGGGAAAACAAAGTACTTAGAGGAAACCCACGCCAAAACGGGGAGAACATGCAAACTCCACACAGAAATGCCAACTGACCCAGCGGGGGCTCAAACCAGCGACCTTCTTGCTGTGAGCCACCGTGTCGCCCTAAATCAATTAAATGCTGCAAAACTCTAATTCTCTTCTGATTGTCAATCTTATTATTCTGCGTTTTGTATAACTTTCCTGCACTGCAAAAAAATCTTGCTGCCTAAAATTGAATCAAATTAACTTTTCTTTTCATCTCAACATCAGTCAAACTGACTAAAAATATGAAGTTAAACTTTGTAGAACTAAAAGTGTTCAGTTGAAACCTGATTAAAATGAGTTAACATAACAAAAATATTTGTCTTGACTTTTTGTCATATATTTTTTACAGTTGTATTCATGTATTTGCTTCTCTCATAACGCTCCAATATTTAATATCCATTTATTTGCTAAGCAGCAGCATAATTATTGCTTATGTACAGTAAAATCAAAAGGAACTCTTTGGGGACTCTATTTGTGTGTATTTGCAATAATCACTGATTAAATGTAAAATATCCATTACAAATCCTTTTGAAAACAACTTGTGCAGCTCACTGTAGATGCATAAATAATAATGATAATAATAAAGAAAGTTCACTTACGATTTAACAATTTGCCCCAGATCATATTTGTCTGTGATTTCTGTAGGACTGTTGTAGTCCTTCTTCTCCCCAGGTTTTAAACAGCCGAATGGCATGGCCCACCTGCCCCTGAAAGAAACACAAAAACTTACATTCCTACACTCGTATAATCAAATGCACATTGTTTGAATATGCATTACTCATTCAGGATTAATATGCATGCTCAATATCACATTCTGTGACATTTTTTATCCCGAAGGGAAATAACAACTGTGCACGAACACTCCTGTTTGACATTCACAAACAAAACATATTCAGCCGCCTCAAACAATGAGCACTGCCGAGGGATTTATCTCGTTTCAAATCAAACAATATTTATGCAATTTAGAAAAAAAATGTGAGTGTGTGGAAATTGTACAACTGCAATGCCAGGATGAGCTTGAGGAGTTGCTTTTATAGATGCTGTGTTTGTTATGGAGCTTTAGGGTTTTGCTTGTTGTACCTCTTCATAAGATTCTGCTCATTTGTGTGAAGTCTTTGTAAAGTCTGACAAGTGAAACATGTCAAATCTTACAACAACATTTTCAGCCAGTATGTCTTGTCTGTTCGTTTTTATCAGTGGTCTTTAACCACCGGGCTGCACTAGAAATCATTAATTATTTCAGTTTTATTTATGATCTGAGTCTGAACGATCTTTTATTTTGAGAAGTCTTATATTTTGAAAAATTACCGTATTCTCTCGCTTCACATCTCAGTCACTTGAGCGCCCAAATTTAACCCACAAATAGCAAAATAAGAAACAGACGTCTTTGGAAAGTTTCTTTGCTAAGGGGAAAAGGCTCATTGAAGTACCTGTGAAATGCCAAGGAATGGATCCGCAACCCAATTGTCAACAAATCAGGTGAATCCAGCATGTCTGTGCAAGAAGATCAACAGCTGGAGATCGCAAATAACGACGGCCTTTTAGGGCCAATTTCATATATCGTGTTGTTTATATAGTGCGCGCAACTTCGTTATTTCCCATGGAGGTGGAATTTTCCTATATGGAATATACACGTTTTGGTAGACTAATTATCCAAGACAAACACAGAACAGCCAAACACTGCAGTGCTTTGTCATTTTGTCCATGAATAAAACTTGAATCAGAATGACAGCATGTCATCCTCTGAGAAAACAATTGGTCACCTAGCAACCTACGAAACCAACCCCTCCAATACTATCAACTAAACAAGACCCCGTAAATGTGTTATGTGACAATTATTACATTCAAATATTGTGACAAGTAAATACCTGGAAGAAAACTCAGGTCTACAATGGAGGTTTTTGGGAGAGTTCAGAGATATAGATATAGTAAAGATTTGGAAAGTTACTGCCTGTTTTGTAACACTGCAGATCTTTTTCAGGCTCAAACACCAACATTACACACTAAAGAAAGCTGAAGGTAGTTGTTGAGAGTCGGTAAGCACTAAGGGAGAAAAATAATGTTGCAACAAGTCAAGCTTAAGAAATGAGCACCTGAAGAATGGGCAAAGGGAATGGGCTGAAGAAGACAAATTAAATGTTGTTTAAAAAAAAAACCCTTTTACAATCGGAATCACTGTCCTTCCATTTTCGCAAGCAAGGACAAATTAAATTAGACAGCAGACTCTAACTTTCTTTCTTTGCTGAAAGTGAGACTTGTTTATAGGGAGTTTATATATATATATATTTTTTTTTGTACTAAAACTTGTGTAAATGTTCAAAGGAAATTGAGAACAAAACAGCTCATCATTTCACTGAATGAATATGCCACAGATGCTTGCAAGATGCATTATAACATGATGCTTGTCAACAGATTTTATTAAGCAAAATTAGGTTTGAAGTAGCCCTGTGTTAACAGACTAACAGACACTTGACAACAGTGTCTAAAGGATCAAATTACAGAAGATTTCAATATAACAATTACATCATCTGGAATTGCATTTATAGCAGGCATTTTATGATGGAAAATTTGTGACTGAATAAAAATATTTATTACGAATGACTTCAATTCCCTCAAAATTATAAACAGACATACTTTTGACTTAAATAAATGTTTATTCACTATTAATGCATTGTTAAGATTGCTCTCAAAACAGCACAAAAAAGAAATTCGTACATAATTCATATCAACATTCATATTCAACATGTTTATAACCAAGAAACAAACACTAAACATCTGTAACATTTAGATAATGTTCTAGTATATATACATAATTGTGACTTTTTGGTGATAAATCTTGCTTTTTTGTGAATGTAAATTCATGTCAAACAATTCTGACCTTTATCTCAGATTTTCGTGATGCAAACTTTATTTATAATGAAGACAGAATTATTAGACATACTGTACTGTGTAAACATAATTGTGGGGAAAAAATTAAGATAATTGCAGAAAATAAATATTGAAAATTGTCGGAATTGATCAGATATAAAGCTGCAGTTCTGACTTTTCTACTCAAATTCAGACTATTTCTCTTTTTTGTATTTCTGATTCTAGTTGGGAAGTAACATAACTATTTGCAAATACATCACCTGACAAAAGTCCTGTTGTCGATCCCAGTTGTAAGAACAACAAATAATAACTTGACTGTTGAACTGCATCCCAATCATCACAAATACTGCAGAAGACCTATTGGAAACTGCATGGACTCAAAATTCTCACAGAAATCAGTCAAGTTTGGTGATTTAAAAATCATGGTTTGGGGGTGTGCGAGAGATCTGCAGAGTGAATTGCAACATCAACAGCCCGAGGTATCAAGACATTTGTGCTGCCTATTAGAGAACAAATTCTTCAGCAGGATAGCGCTCCTCATACTTCAGCCTTTACATCAAGGTTCCTATAGCAAAGGTCAAGGTGCTTTAGGATTGGCCAGCCCTGTCACCAGATATGAACATTATTGAGCATGTCTGGGATAAGATAAAGGAGAAGGCATTGAAGATAAATCCAAAAAATCTTGATGAACTCTGGGAGTCCTACAAGAACACTTTATTTGTCATTCCAGAAGACTTTATTGTTATGTTATTTGAGTCCTTGCAGAGATGTATGGATGCAGTCCTCCATGCTCATAGGAGTCATACACAATATTCATTCTTTTTCCACTGCAGCATGACTTTATATTCTTTACGGGACATTATTTCTGTTAGGTGACAAGACTTTTGTCTAAGCAAAGTCAGACTTTACTGTACTAATTAAATAATTAAAAATCAAGGCATGATCATATTTTATTTTATTTTGGTAAAATAAGTGTAATCTAGAGGCCTTTCCCTTTCATATAAGCCACTTCTAATACCAAATGATCAACTAGAACTCATTATTTGTTTTTCCTAAAACTTGAATCGACGACATAACTTTTGTCAGGTAGTGTATATTTGATGCTTGGCTCTAAAATTCATGCTCTGCATTTCTGAACAATAAAACTTGTTTACTGCACTTTGATTGACGTACTCAGTCATTTTAACATTGAAATACACTGGTAGACTGCTGAGGCAAACCACACTAATCTTGTTACTTTTAGATATTTTTGTCATCCTAGCATTAAACAGCACTGCATAATAGAGTGCAGAAAAACAGAGCAAGTTTCAGATATTAGGCGGCTCGTCCCTCTTTTACTCTAACACTAGGCGATTTAAGCGGGAAATATGAATCGGGTGACAGCAAGTGAAGGTGATTGTGATGAGTGAGCAGTTTTTCATTTGGCTACAGTACAAGAAAGTTGACCCAAAGTTAGGAAAGTACAGCTGACTTAATAAGGTTGATGATCAGATTATGGTACTACAAGGTCTACAGAGCATACTGAAACAAAAATAATAATGCCGACACGAAGAAAAGCATTGTACACAAAAGCAGGCAGAAAGAGGACAAGCTCTGTAATTTACTGTACGTCCTTTCTTTTCAGACGCACAGATAGTGTCCTTAATTTTTCTCACACTCATATTTCTCATTTAGCCCCTCTCGCTGCACTCCTCTTTATCTTCTTCCATCCCTCTTTGTTCATTTTTGAAAACCTACATGTAATGCTAAGAAGTTTGTTATGTAAGTGATGAAGCTCTCTGCTCTATGATTAATTACACTTCTGTTTGCTGTGCAAATTGCTTTGAATTCCTTAAAGGGAGAGTTTACCCCAAAATAAAGATTCTTTCATCATTTACTCTTTTATTATATTACAATCCACAACAATGCTTGTATTTGGCTGTTATATATAGAATAAAAGGTTGTTTATGCACTTATAAATCTGGCTGAAATGTCCATGAATAGAGTCTTTCGTTGTTATTTTTTTTATTAAATAGAGTAATGCCATAATGTTCTAAAACAATAGTTTAAATCATTGCATATCTTAACACATTAACACTTTCTCTCTTTGCTAACTATTATTAATCTCCCAATTTGGCACAAAACATCCACCTGTTGAACTGAAATATCCTATTATTAACACAGCATAATGGGCCATTTGGCACAAGCACAGAATATATATTAAGCATTGTCATCTAGGAATCTGGCCTGAAGGTCTTTGGAAGACAGCATATAAGATGAGTGTTCCAGCCAATAGCATGAGCTTCAATTTCATCAGTGATTTTTCTGCTGATAATATAAAAATAACTTTAATGGGTCTATTTTTAAGCCTCAGGTGTCCCCAGAATATGTCCCACGAGGTTTCATTTTAGAATTCCTCAAGAATCATTTTTATACCATGCTAAAATGGTCGTTTTGGGGTGGAATCAAAAACAATTTTCAGTGTCTCTTTAAATGCAAATGAGCCGCTCCTCCCCACTCCCTTTCCAGAAGAGGGTGGAGCCTTCACACAGGTAAGTGGGCTTGATAAACTAGCTGTAGAAGCACTTCTCTCTCTCTCTACAGTATATGCACCAAAGACTTCTTAAAATCAATTTTACATGGACTGCATAAGAAAAACAATGTTTACTTGTGAATGTACCAAAAATCTAAATCTTAACTATTTTGCCAAAATATCTTTTACAATATTGTTTCAATTTATGAAGGTGTGTTAGGGTGCTTTCACACCAAGACTTTTGTTTCAGAACCTGGCGTGTTTCCCCCATAAGCACGATTTGTTTGGCATATTTGAAACCAGCAATTGTGATTGGATAACAATCGG